CCAGGATTTCCCACTGCCACCGTCGCAAAAGGAGAGTGACATTTTTTGCGACATGGCAACGAGCATTGTCATGCAATATGATAAGGGTGATTGTTGTGCAATAAATGTGGATGTTTGCACCGCTTAGCTGGACGCAAATGGTGCTGTAGAAATCGGCAATAGTAATCTGCGTTGACAGTTTGTCCTTCAGGTACAGCATGTGTAAGAATCACACCGCACCAGTCGTATGCCACAATCAGCATAACCTTTACTCGACTGGATTCCTGCCAAAATTCTGTGGACGTGGCGAACCTTGGTGACGCCATTCATTTGATTGACTCTTTAATTCAGGCTCATAGGCTTGTGCCGATGTCTCATCAATGGTGACAATACGCTGCAGAAATGCGTCTCCTTCATTGCGGTATCTCTCCAAGTGGGTGCCAGCCAGTGCATACCGGTGCCATTTCTGTACTTTGGTTAGTCGATGTGGAACCCAGCGGGAAGCAATTTTCCTCATGTTAAGAGATTTCTTCACTGTGCGCCACACCATTTGATGACTCAGACCAACCTCTAAGGATAATTCTTGGACAGTCCATCAGCGGTCTATGGTAAGGAGACCGCTCAGGATGTCAATCTGCTCTTGAGGAATGGAGGGTCGGCCTGTGCGTTGCAAATCTGCACTCTCATTCTGACCCAAATGAAATGTTTGAACCCATTGTGCTACTGTCTTATATGGTAAAGCATTTGTGCCACAGGCTTTCACTAATCCTTGATAGCATTCTGTTGCATTTTTGCTCCAGGCAACCTCGATTTTACACCACGACCGCTGATCACCTTTTGTAAACGTGCTTTAGAGCGATGGAAACGAAACTCCTCACTTTAACACCACACAACAACTACCCTTCTAAGCAGATTGACTGTTTTTGCGCTCTACACATCGACAACAGTGCCACCCCACTGCTCCCATATTCTATTTGCGCATGCACATAGTAAAACTGTGCATGTAACCACTTTATCTTTAGCATGACAGCTACCTTTTCAGTTGTCGATGATGATGGCTCGTGCATGCATTAAAGAAGTCATTTAGTACACATATGTCAACAGCCACCTATTCAATTATGTGATTGTTTGGATCAGATATAGAATATGCGCCTCTGTCATAAAACTATTTCCATTCAAGTTGTAAACGTTGAGTTGCTTCTCACACTACTTAGCCAGTGTCAATTCCTTTGCCCAACAGTAAATAAATAGCTGCTCTGTTACAAATAGTATTGTGAAAAAACTGAATCAATTGTCAGAACATATGCTTTTCCTTCATTTGCAGTATTTCAAATCACACATTAAGTGCTTTCATTAATATATATAGCTTAATTTAATGGTTATTTTAGCATATTCAAATGTGAGATAAAATTCATCTTTCTTGAAAGAAAGATAAAACACCTCCCACACTTCTCATTAAATCAAATATTTTTTACTTTTCTTTAGGAAAAAAAATGAAATACATTAACACAAGGAATACTTAGAGCTCTTCTTGTGATGAGAGAATCGTCAGTGATTGTGAATTATTACATTTGTATGAAAAAAGAAAATATGATAGCTAGTGCTTTACTCAAAAGTTCTTTTATCATGAACAAACTATTAATAAGCACTTTTAGGGCTACTGGCCATTTGAAGATGATTTGCATTGCCAATTTATTGATATTTTTGCACTGCTTAAAAAATGGGGACCTTAATTAATAAGGAAGCACTAAATTCATTTCATATACAGTCATATGTAGAATAATATGCAGAATTGGTTTGAGACTTTTCTTAGCCCATGCTTAAATCATTATATTTAATCATATACTCGGAGATTACTGAAATTTTGACAAAATTTGAAATATGTAGCTTATTTAAATAAGAACAGCTACACTGCAGTGAAATTTTGTTTTTATTTTGCTTTATACTCATATACTAATTTTTATAGTATTAAGTATCATTAAAACGTATCCTAAATGTTTTAATTCCATTTTTAGCATGAATAACTGGATTGCATTGCATAAATGTATTTCATTGTCTTAAATTATGTATATATGCAGTGAAGAAATTTAATATGGTGTGTCATGTGCTGGATGGTGAGTTATGAAGCTATAATAATAATAATAATGATGATGATAATAATAATAACAACAATGATAATAACGGCTTGCTCAAGGATGGTTCCTAGTCCTTGCAAGCCACGATAAGAAATTATATAGTTAACAAAAAATTAACAGACCTGGTATTCTGTGAAGTAATGCATTTATTCATTATTCAGAGTTCTGTGCTCCATACTATATACAAAAGAACATCTGATTTGCAGTGTATTAGTTAAGTGTGCATGTATGATGGCAGGAAGAATTGCAGTATAATAATCTATACAATGGCAATTAATCTATGTCTTAAGATATCATATTCTTAGGTACTCTTCCAATTATCTGCTGAGCCTCATACTATGCAGTCAGTCTGAAAAGTCTGAATGTAATATCCATCACAATTTTCCAATGCATCACTATAGTAATAAAATTCTAGATATTTAACATAGTGTATCAGTGCACCTTCTTCACCCCTTCCCAAAAGAAAGAGAGAGAAAAACACAGAGGCACCATGAAGTTGTATCTTCTGCTTTTATTTCTTTGTGACTGTTAAATTTGTGAGTATACATTTCAACCAATGGTAAATATCAACAGCAAGTAGATAAACCACTCTGAGAATTCCATTTGTTGGGCAGAAGAAATAAATTGAAATGAGCTTGTACCTGATGACATCACTCACTCAAGCATGTACAGAGTTGGCAAGGAAACCTGTTGCCAAAAGAATCAGTCACTAAGCAGGCTGCTTGAATATTATCTGGCAAATACATATGAAATTCCAGATTTAAATTAAATTAATATGCCATCATCAGTGTATGGTATTGGATTTCTTGCCCTATTAATAAGAAATTAAAATATTGCATTTTAGTTGATGTTAGGTAATAAATAATATATTGCTAGGCTATTAAAAAATGGTTTTATCTTCCTTCAGAAACAAAATTTATAGCGTGAAGTACTGAATAATCACAAGTTAATTTGAAGGAATTTTATTGTAGTATAATTACTTGAATTTTAAATTTCGAGTTTGATTTATTAGTGTTTTTAATGAAGATAATCATATTTATATGAATTCTTTGGGACTGACTTCAAGTGGGAAGTGCATGAGGGAGGGAAAAAGATGGTAGTAGATGGATGTTGTAGAATTGATTGGGGAACAAGACCAATGAAAATATAATCTGATATATTAATGTAAACAGTATGTTTGCATATTGATGTCTATGCTTTGTCTTGTCAAACCCAAAGATCTTGCATCTCCTGTCATTCTAAGGAAAGCAGTTTATGTAAATCAATAAAAAAAAATGATAAAATGAAGATAAAAATAATGAATGTATGCTCAAATAAATATTTGCATCATTCTGTCACACAGTGTGCTCTTCTTCAAACAAAATGCCAGAGAATCATTGCAATTAAAGGAAGGCTGTTTTAGATCATTATTTAAATTAATTTAAAGTTTTATTGCCTTATTACTTCACTGCACTGTATGCATATATATGTACAGAAAGAATATGAAATACAAGCAAAGTATACAAAGTTTTAAGGTTGCAAAAATTGATTGAATTCTTCCATGGCCCGGGGAGATATTAAAGTATAACGAGCCAGTTTTAAGAAAGTCATTAAGTTATGTACTGTTGGTTGAAAAATATAAATGGTTTTATGTTTCTTATTTGCTTGAATCATCTTTGAATGGCAGATGTTGACAACCGATAACCATTAACTGAATATTGGAATGTTATTTACATAAATGCTGTTTACATAAATGGTAATGATCTGCAGAATGTTTCTTGCCTTTTCTCAGATTACAAAGTGTTGAGAATTCAAATATGGCTACTATAAAGTGTTTTACATTATTTTGAATATTATCATTATTATTTTACAATTTTAATATTAGTTATTTAAATTTACCCTCTGCATTTTGATCAATGAATTATGAAAGAATAAAATCTTACAGAATGCTAAGCGGAAGCTTAAAGGCTTTTGCTGAAATTACAGCTGCTGTTAACATGCCACACTGAATAATTTTTTTTTTTTTTTTTTTTTTTTTTTTTTATCACCATGTCTTTTCTTTCAAAACGTAGTGTTTGTATTTCATATTGTATGCTGTGTTTTCATCATTCACTTCTTGACTATTTGGATTTCAAAAACAGCCTTGTAAATTTAGGATTGTATCAGTAGCTTTAGAGTTATTGCTGCCTGCTTTTTCAAAAGAAATTCACAAATAGGAATACATTTTAATTTTATAAGTTAGCTGTTGAAAATTCAGAATGCACGCATATAGTCAAAGCAAGCTGCATTTTCCACCTATTCAGTCCTTCCCTCATTTCATCTGTGTTTAATCATCATATTAGTGAGAAAAATTTTAGCATTTAGCGGCAATGAAATTACTTGTTATCCTATAATGTTTCACTATGAATGTTTTATGGATGTGTTATATGTAAAAATATTATTTATGAAACACATAAATGCGATAAAATGAAACAGTGCTGTTATTGCCTATGAGAAATTAATTTTTTTAATTTTACCTTTTTATTAATTATAATTATTGATAGTGTAACTGGTTAAAAAACCATGCAATCATCATGCGTACTCCCAACTGTAGTTGCAAATTTAGTCAGTAATAGTTAGGGAAAGGTGTTTCTGGAATATAATTAATTACAAGTTAGTATTTGATTAACTTTTACACTTGTTGCAATTCTGATCAATTGCTATTATTTGCAATGAATAAAAAATAACTATATTTAGTTACTATAAATGTGTAAAAATGTTTTTGATGATAATTTTTGCATTTTAATTAGTTAGTATAAAAGGCTAATAATTGAAGCATTAATGTGTATTCACTAACCTTGTTATAGTTTTCCACTGTAACTAGGAACATCATCCATTGTAATTTTTAATGAATTTTATCTGTTTTAGATGGACTCTACACTGAAAATTAAGTCATCAAAGGACTTCTTTTCTCGTCTGCAAGAGACAAATACTTTGCAAATGAAAAAGAAAAAATGAATATATCAGAGCAAGATACGAATATATGTATATATTTTTTAAATATGTGAATAAAATGTAATTTCATATTTATAGTTATTATGTTTTTAATTTTATTATTTGAATAGTTGCCATATAACTGAGTATGGTCAATGAGAGCCAGCCATTGGAAACATAAAAAATTATATGTAGTGATCTTAAAGCTGAATTTAAAAAAAAAAACTGCTAATTGAACACTCCTTCAGAAACATTAAGATCAGCAATCTGTTCAAAGAACAGCACTAGATTTGCCAAAATGAATAGAAGTAATCCAGGAGTGAAATCTCACCATTTTGGCTGAATTTTATTCCTGCATTAATTACATGGTATGCCCCATTGATTTTTAGTGATGCTGACTAGTCCTTTTTTTATTTTTATTTTTAATTTATTTTGTGTGAATGGATTTTTTTTTTTTTTTTTTTAAGCACACAGCATTAAAAGCTCATGTTCTACAATGTAGAACATTGAGCATTATTGAATACAACAGGTTTCTTAAAGCCCGGTAAATTCTATGTTTGCTTCCTAAAGGCAGTCGGTCTGCAATATATTCACTCTAAAAATGTTCTAAGTGTTTGCTGACAAGTCCTCCTTCCTGATCACTGCTTTGTTGAATCACTTTCTATGAATAGTCTGCTAAATTATGTTAAATTAGGCTCCAGGCTTTTAATTTCTTGTGTATTATGCTAGAGGAATTAATCATCCTTACTTAACTCTCAAAATTATACATTATTTTGAAAAATAGTAGTCCTGGAAAACTTGTTTACCCTATACCTAATTAATGTTGCATGTTCATATCTTTGCAGAAAACTTTATTAGAAACTTGAAAAGTCTTGTAAAATGGCATGAACTATTTATTGGATTCATATTTACATTACATATCAGAAGAATCTTATGCAGGCAGCCCATTTAGTCAATGGGAACTATATTCTGAGCAAGAACTATCAGTGTTGTTCTGTTTGCAGCCTTATAGTTGTTTATTACATCTAGAATCTGAAATGTTATCCATAAATTTTGCTTTCAAAACAATTATTTAAATGCTTATATATATCCATTTCTTCCTTTTTGAGATATATATATATGTGTCAAAAACAGTTTTGACTTCCAATCATCTTATAATTTATGGAAAACAGATACTTAAATGCTTAAATATCCATTTCATCCTTTTTGAGATATCTATGTCAATGACTTTTCACTATTCAAAACAGTTTTAAATTCTAATGATCTTATAATTTTTAGTTTAACTTTTATAAAGTCTGATTCCTTTCCCTGACATGCGTAGTAAATCCTTGACTGTAACATTTTCTATTAGGTTGAAAACTCATTTATTTTTTTATGTAACAAATCATGTACCTAGCATTCTGCTTTAAAGAAATGGTATCTTTGTGTTTATAGTTTGCTTCTTTACAATCCAGACTTGTTTGTAAATCCACTGATTTAAGAACTGTTTCTGTTGACAGAAGTTTGTTCCATTTTGTTTAGGATCAAATAACTGAAAAAAATTTCCACCATTGCAATAAAACATTATTCAAATGAACTTATTTGTAACCTTCTTTCCTTCTATTTGTTATAGTTGTAGATTACCTGTCATTTTCTTCATCTTACGTAATTCTGAATCATTTTTCGTTTGCTAAAATTTATGTGCATTTTCTTTAGTAATCCCATTTGAAAGCTGAGTTTAAGAAAAATTTGCAGCACAGCATTTTTTGCCAGTTTGTACATTTATTAAAATAACAGAGCTTTAAAACTGCATATTACAGTCTATGAAATGTACATCTAGAGAGAAATCTGTCACTTGATCATTTTTTTAATGCACATTTTCTCTTCTTTGAGGTCTAAACAGTATACAGTGTATTGAATTTTAATTAATGATTCCGGTATTAAATTCTGCTTTATGATGGCTTTTAAACAGTTAATTGTTTTAGTTTTTTCTCCACTTGCAGAGCTCCTCAGGTTAGGCTGTAATCACTAACTTGCCTTTGTAACTATGAAAGTAACCAAGTTTCCAGAAAATATTTCAAGATCTCACCAAAAGAGAGATATGTATAGAAGATCTGATTAATCTGTGCCCCATTACCAAAAAGTTTTTATTTAGTACCCCAGGTATGCATGCAGCATTCTGCCAGATGCCTCCCACTTCCCCGGACATTTTTGCTAATCTAACTGCGGATTATGATCCCTCCTGTGAGAAGGTCAACATTTTAACATAGTGGACCGCCGAGATAAAATACCTTTCTTGATTGGAATGCAACTGATGAGGCACTCCAAACCTGAAAACCCAATGCTGTATCATTGCATCTGCTACCGTGACAACCTTTTGATAAGGGATAGGATACGCTTTAGGTCACTTTGTGAAGTAATCAGTGGCAAAAGGTTGTATGTGTTGCCATCAGCAGGTCATGGAAAAGGTCCCAGGTGTGTCCCTGGGATATCAGAGGTGATGCATTCAAAACATGCTTCTGTAGCTTCTGTATTGTAAACTTTTAGCTATGTTGGGCTGTGTTTCTCAGATCCTATGCAACCCGCACAAGCATGGCATGACTAGCACCACTTTTAGGCCTCAGCCCTTGCATTAGAAACTCTACGCAAGGTCTTCAATTTTCCTAAATTCAGCTGCCGATTCAAAATTCCGGTACAAGACGCTGTTTCAAATATGGAGGAACCTGGGTCAAACGATGTTGAAATTATAACTTGTTGTCGACCAGATTAACTACCTCATATTTGGCTTCGACCTTAAACAATTTCAGCAGCTTTCTGGGTCATTATGCTCTAGGCAGGGCATCGGCCTTTTCGTATCACAATCTTTTCCGATGATTAATAGTTATGTCATATTCCCTGGAAACTCTGTATCCATCTAGCTATTTGACCTTCAGGTTTCTTGAAATTTAAGAGCCATGTTAACGACACATCTGCGCGGAGCATGAATTTTCTGCCATAGACATAATGAAGGAAGTGCTATCCGGCTTTAACAATGACAAGCAACATCTTTCTGGTAACACAGTAATTCCTGTCCGCTTTAGATAGACATTTTGTTACGAAGAACACAGAAAATATATAAATCAAATATATTTTAAACAGTTCGTTCAGTTGCGGGCCTGCCTCTACCCGAGGCTAGGTGCATTATGAATAAAGACAAAAAAGTTCTTAATAAGTCATTCTTTATTTCCATCAAAACAGTATCACTCTTCCGAGATCAGCTTTCGTTCCGTCTACAAGCAAAACATTCCAAACACTCAGCACGCAGGCTGACGTCATAAACAGCAGCGCCTCGCGCCGGTTATTACTTCAGTTCATTTCACAACAGACTCCCCCCCCCTTGAGACTCAGGTTGAGTCACAAACTCATAACAAACATTATTTAAAAGATCAAGTCTTTTTGGAACTTTTACAAGTCGTCCAAAGGAGGAATATTGTTGCATCACCATTTTATCAGGTGCAATTCCCTTTTTTAACGTACACCCAGCACTAGAATTAGATTCCTCTGCACCCAGTTCTTATTATGCACATTTCTGATTAATAACTTAGTGGAAATCACATTTTTCTGGTAACAGTATTGGATACAGAAAAGATTCATAGTCATCTCTATTTAGTATTCTCGTTTTAACTCTTAGAATACCATCATCATCAATGAGCGTTTCAATAAAATTATAATATTTCTTATCAGTTAGATAATAATTTTGAACCAAACGAATTAAATTTTTCTCAGAATTTTCAATTTCATACTGTGAAAGTTCAATGTTTTCCATTCTTTTCAGAACCACCTTTACAATTATTTACAAATCTTAAATATCCATGCAAATACTTCTAATCATTTTATCATAATTGGATACACTGATTCGATGCCAAGGAGGTGCGTCTTTTGATAGATCAATATTCACTCTTTTTATCTTTTTTCTCTCCAATTCTACTTCATGCAAATAAATAATCTCACCAGTGGGCCAGTTTTCAGGGCCTTCTCGCAACCACAAGGGGCCTTCCCAACATCTAGACCGAAGCATTTGCTTCGCAAAATATCCGCGCGACAACAAGTCGGCAATATTTAGTTTCCCTGGGATATGTCTCCATGAATGACCTCGCGTCAAATCTCGAATCTCTTTAACCCTATTTTCGACGAAAACGGACCAATTTCCTTGCTCTGTTATCCACCAAGGGCAGTGGTTGAATCAGACCAGAAGGTAACTTTTAAATCGGGCAAACTGAGAGCCTTGATAATAGAATTTGCAAGTCTAGAACCTATACAACAGGCCATTAATTCTAAGCGAGGAATGCTTAAAGATTTCAAAGGCGATACTCTAGACTTCGCCCGTACGAGATTTATTTTTACTTCAGAATTAAATATTGATCGAACAAAGACACACGCTGCATACGCCCCCTTGCAAGCATCCACAAATACATGTAGTTCAGACGTGTCATTGATAAACAAGTATCGAGGCAAAGTAACATCTTTCAAAACATTAAGTTCTTTAAACCAGTTCAAAAATATATTTACATCATTCGGAGACAATTCATCACCCCATGCAATTTTCACTTTCCACAATTTTTGCAACAACAGTTTTGGAAGCAATGTAGTTGGCGTTAATAAACCAATAGGATCAAAAATTGTCTGCACAATTGCCAAAATTTTCCTCTTTGTGATTTTCGTATCACAGGTCTATGTATCTGTGTCTGTGCAGCACCTCAGCGTATCATTATCCAAATTCCAAATTACCCCCAAAACGGAAGTATCCCCTGAATGTTTGTCAACATTTGTACCAGCCACATTGCTTTCAAAACCGCGCAAGTTAAAACATCCATTTGACATGATTAGTTATTTGGAATGTTCAATAAACGTAAACTGTTCATCAATACTAAAAACACTAGATAAACAATTATCCACATAAAATGACGATTTCAATTTTTGAGCAACTTCACTATATTGACGTGGACAGTTTTCTAATAGATGCGTTCAACAAGTAGGGGCTCGAAGAAACTCCAAACACAACTCTGCAATGCCTATAAATTAATTTCTCTTCATTGCATGGGAAAAAAAATCTGAGAAAATCTCTATCTTTAGATGCGACGGAT